AAATATTCATTCATTTAAAATTCGATAACTTTGAAGAATTTTCGTAGTCGTTACTTTTACCTATTGATCTCATTTTTATTTGGCTATTCATAGAAGTTCGTAGAATTATCTAAGACGGAACTATGAAGAATTCCTGATGAATATCACTTGATCTATGGAAAATATTTCCAAGCTTTTCATTTTCTTCTTAAATTCTTTTCTGAAGAATTTTTATCAAAATCTACAGAGTTTCAGATAAATCTAATCAGATTGCAGGTTAAGTTTTTCATAATTCAATGTTAGTTTGTTCTAAGACGAAACACAACTAAAAATAAATCAATATGAAAATGATGATTACGGAGATTTTTAAGCCGAATAAATTTCCTATAGATTGATTCCATTGAAATTGTTCTTTAGAATAATGCTTGAGTCTACTGAAAATTGATAAAAGAAAACAGCTAAGAATGAATGTACATTATTTCTTGTTTATAAATTGATTTATATTTTATCTTATAGAAAAACCGAATTGTAGAATTGAATTAAAAAACTAATAAAAAAGGAAATTATTGAATTAGACATACATCGAAGGGTGTGGGTGTGCGCGTAAATGAGAGAATATCCATACCCTCACCCACATCCATCCATATCCACACCCACACCCTCCATACCCACATCCACACCTACCCACACCCACACCTGAATAACTTCGTGCTGAAAGCTTCATAGTCACAAGAAATAAAATGTTATATTTCAAACTGAGTTGATAAAATAAATATCTCAGATTTGTGCTAAGCCGCCATCGACACACAGTTCAATACCCGTGATGTAACTGCTATCGTCTGAAGCAAGAAAGACTGCAGCTTTGGCTATTTCATCAGGCGTACCTAATCGACTCATTGGTGAACGAGCTATCATACCTGTGATGAATGCTTTGTTTTCTGCTTCACTCTTTCCTGCACGTTCTAACATTGGCGTTTTGATTGGTCCTGGACTCAGTGTATTCACCCGAATTTTTCGCTCCTTCAAATCGACCGTCCAACATCGCGCGAAAGAGCGAACAGCTGCCTTTGTAGCACAGTAGACACTCGCAGTTGGAGTAGCTTTCATAGAACCGATAGATCCGGTTAAGATAATGGATCCACCATCAACTAATATTGGCAAAGCTTTTTGAACAGTAAACAATACTGATTTCACATTGATGTTGATTAAATCATCAAAATGCTTTTCAGTGATCGCTCCAAGTGGTGCATTCGGATTGTTACCTGCGTTGGCGAAAACGATATCTAAACGACCTTTTTCTTTCTGAATAATGTCGTACAATCTGTCAAGATCAGTCATGTTTGAGACATCACCTTGCACTGCCGTCACATTTTTGCTACCGATCTTTTTAACAGCTTCATCGAGTACTTCTTGACGGCGTCCGGTGATGAAGACATGCTCTGCACCTTCAGTGATGAATCGTTGAGCAGTGGCCAAGCCAATACCTTCGGAACCGCCTGTAATGAGAGCAACTTTTCCATCGAGCTTTCCCATTATTCTCCTTGTTGTAGTAATGATTATGTTTTGGTTGTTTTTATATAGACACACGCACGCGTATTAAATGATTATTTGCACTAAAAAAATACCTTATCTCACTGACTATTTTTCTTTCTTTCTCCTTGATATTGACTTGCATCAAACTCATGCCTTTTTTTTTGTCCTTGTTAACCTCAAAAGAGACATTCAAGGACAGTATGAATAATCGAAATGTAATCCTGTCAAATAGACGGCCAACAAAAAAAATAATCACTCGACTTAAGACTTGTCAAAAATCGAAAACATGACTCGGGACAATCGGGGTGTAGGCAGGGTGTGGCTTTCGGTTGATATAGAGAAGACCCACATCCACACTCTGATTTCGATATGTAACGGATACTTCAGAAGTAATAGCGATGTTAGTATTTTTCCAATATCTCATCCAGTTTTGATCACTTTGAAACCGATTCTTTTTCACAAAAAGATTATGCTTTTAATTCTTTACAAACCTATGTATTTCTATCAATAGCATCAGGGATGGGTGTGGGTGTGTGGGTGGGTGTGGGTGTGGAGTGTGCGTGTGAGTGTGGGTGTCATTTCTCTTTTTATTCACAACCATATCCACCCACGCCCACGCCCACACCACAACCACACTCACACCCACACACCCCACACCCTCAAGATCACGTTTTCAATTCATAAAATCAACTAAAGCTGAGCCCAGGAGACCCAAATTCGGGTGAGGCTTAAGCTTCACTCAACCGAAACATTTAGTCGCCTATGAATCAGTCGTTTATTTCCATCTTTTTCGGTTTTTTTATTCTAAATCTTTTAAAAACTCTATTTAACTTTGTCTTGTAAATATGTTTTCAAATGTTAATGATGTAACATTTTTTCGTTCATGTCTGCGATGATATGTTGCAAAGAGACTCTCTTCGACATCAGTGAAATAGGCGTTTAATCTGCCTATGAAAATTAATGGATGATTAATTCTTTTTTCTGATCTATATATATTTAAGAAAAGATTATTTGTAGAAAAAGAGAAGTTTCTAAAGCTTTGCGAAAAATTATTATTCTTGATTTCAATATTAGAAAACATTTCGATTTGAAGCATTATAAATAACTCGCTGTAGACAAAATATTGAATGTAGAGCAGGGTGTGTACTAGTGTAATTTGCAAAAAAGGCTCATTAGGAGAGTAAGTGAGTCGATTGCATACAAAGAAATATCCTAGAACGAAAAACTTTTAAATGAGATTCTCAGAATTTCAGACACTGATAATAAACAATACTTCAGAATACAATGATTTTTAATATGTAATAGAAATAAAAAGTATTTATTTCTGTTGGATAATGTATTTTTGACACTTTAAAACACCTATAGAAATATTTTGGTCCAGTAAATTGGTTTCAGTAATTTGTTCAAAAGACAAGTATAAAGTCTTTGTGTTTACATCATATAAAGCATGTGTCTAATAAGCCAAGTCTTAATATGAAATAAAAACGATAATATAATATTTCAATAGTTAGTGTTCGTTTTTTTTTCAAATAAATCAGTGACGATCAAAATATTTATAAAATAAGGAAGCAAAATATTTGGATTTGGCAGAAATAGGAAAAACAAAAATACATACGTCGACGCAATAAAAAAACAAAAAAAATTAGATAAAATTTACTATTGATATTATATTCACGCTTTTCAATAAACGTAATTTAATTAACTTTCAATTTTCTATTGATGAAGACGATATTTGCTTAATTCCGATAACTAAAAGACAAGTCAGCACGACATCGGAAATTTAAATTATCGCTGATTTATCGAAAAAAACCTTTTTCTTGGCAAAATTATGATTATCGAGAAAGAATGAGTGCAGAGTTCAGAGAAATGCTATTGTCAACCGTTCTATCTTCATTTCTTAGAAGATAGAATAACTAACTATAACACTCACATTTCACATTGCGCAAAAAGATTTTCTTCAGTCGCTCAAAGTGTTAATTTATGAGCAAAAGTGTATTTATCATATACACTAAATTATATACTGTTGTTACAAAACATTCGATCGTTTTGATGTCCTAGCATCAACAACTAGATTTGTTTCAAGAATAAAAAGTTCGATATATTTGAAGATGACTATGTAAGATTGTAATAACTTGATATCAACTGCATGTGTGAATAATTATCGAATTTTTTCTCGAGGCTTTTTGTTTATACATATGAATATAATATATTATGGGTTTCAAAATAAAAAACAATTTTTTTAATTTTTTCTACTTCCTGTTGCTTTTTGATATCTTTTCAGGTATGTATTTTTTTTATTTCGTGCACAAGACTCAATATGCGAAAATTACTGAAGCATATCATTGTGTGCACATGTATCATGGTATACAACGTTTTGTGCACATCTTGTGTGGACTTGTTCGTCATAGAGTATGTAGTAAGAAAAAAGAAAAAAAAAAAGAAAAACTAGACAAAATAACGAATGATAAGAAACGAATAAAGTTGTTTCGTTATAAAGGTAAAAAAAAAAGAATCACTCGCGAAAACAAGCAAACTGTTACATACATCACATCAAACTCAATCAACAACATCTCAACACAAATTTTTTTCCATATATTCGATTTTTATTCATTTCTTCATGATGAGTGACTTATTAGAATAGTGCTTGAAATAGAAAGAATTCTATCAAATAATACATATATAGTGCCAGTATGATTTGACAATTAGAGACGATTGAGACAGATATGAAATCGATCACCACGATAGAGTTTTCTTTTGAACGATCGATTGATAAATTCTTGTTAGGTATCAAAATCCTTGGTTGATTTTGCTGTTTCTATCTCGCTTTTATTTATTATTTTAATTAGTTTTAATTCATTGACAATGTCTATATATCACATAATTAGTGTCAATGTGGGTATGGGGTGTGGTGAAAGAGAAAAAGATTATCCACACCCACATCCTACACCCTCAAGTCAAGCATAACTTAGCCTGACTTGACGTTGACTTGGGTCAATTTTCCCAGTTCTGGTGAGTATTATATCTTTTTTTTTTATCTCAGAAAACATGAAAGCATATGAACTCATAAGGAATTCTTATGTCTCAGTTCTTGGACAATCCTATTATATGCACGAAATTGCAATTCAATAGCATGTTGTAGTATAAAGATTCTATTTTGAAGGAAAGGGAGTAGTGGGAGGGCGGGGGGAAGAAGCCCTTTGGGCAAAACATTCTTTTTCTAGCAGATCAGAACATGCTTCAGAAGTATTATTGGAATCTTATTTTTCATAATTAAGTAGTAGAGAATCTGTGATATTGGTCAATCATGCTTCTATTTGAGCTGAAAGTTATCTTTGAATACGTCTTCGTCTATATGTTTGTTCGTTGGCTTATTCAGTATTATATCTCTATCTTAATTAATATGAAAACAAAACAAAATTAGTTCAATTATCTGTTTTTCTAGATTTCTAACGTTTATTATTTCTTTGTTGTGGATTGAAATATATAAGATGGCCATGGCAATGCAATTTGGTAGCAAATCTCGTTTCACTGATCTTTACAATGAGCCTATCGATCATCTTTTATCACCAATCAAAGGCTATCAAGACAAACCACTTGTTTCACTTCTTGAAGCTGTTGAACATGTTTCTGGGTTTTTCAATGAAATTGAAGATAATGTTTATGTTGCATTACATAATTGCCGAAAGCCAGCTGATGGGCTAAATCAACAAGAATCAGCTTCTATTCATCTTTATACAATGCAATTTGATGGTGGCCCAAGTTTATATCAATTACTTAATCAATCATTACGCGCTGAGAATCGCGAAGCATTGAAACCATGGTTCTCATTTCTTAAGCTATTTCTTACTGCTCTACATAGTCTACCATCACAAAGTAAAAGAGTATGGCGTGGTATTCGAGGTGTTGATTTAAGTTCAAAATATAAAACTGGTACACAATTTGCTTGGTGGGGAGTAAGTTCGTGTACTACTGCTATGGAAATCCTTGAATCAGATCAATTTTTGGGTAAACATGGAACACGTACCCTCTTTTCAATTGAATGTATCAATGGAAAATCTGTTGCAGCACATTCATATTTCAAAGATACCGAAAAAGAAGTTATTCTTATGCCAGGTTCATATTTTGAAGTGATAGGCCAATTAAATCCAGCAAAGAAACTTCATATTATTGAATTAAAAGAGATTACGCCTCCAATTAATCTGATTAAACCACCATTCTTCAAATCGAACGAACAACAATCTTCTTCAGTCGTTCATAAACCAAGTACACTTTCTCCATCGACATCAACGATGATGACACTAAAGAAATCCACCAAGAATAAAGGTTCGTATGTTCAAGAAAGACTTTTTGAAAGAGGTACCGTATCATTCTACTTATGTTATAGTGACCTTCGGCAAGCGTAAGAGAATAAAATTAAGTGAATACTAGCCGCTGTGTGTTGTTCAAAGGCTACTCAGTTTTGAAAAAGATATCATGGCGACGAGAAAAGTTTGTACTGTTGTTTCTCGTCTTAAGTGAGCACTAGAGGATTCAATAAGTTCCAGTGATCCATTTTCAACAGATTTTGTCATTATTGAAAAGTCTAGAATACTATATCAGTAAGAATATAAAGACAAAGAAACAATTCCTAATGAATTTCCATCTTTTTTTTGAAATCAAATGCCATCGAAAAAAAACACATACTTAACACTTTGAAGCAGAACACATGCATGAAATCAAGAATCACAAACAGTACACTGTCTTCCAGTATTAAGTGATGTTTGCAACAGTAATAGTGATACTTGTTAGATGGAAAATTTACACACGCTTTCGTCATATAACTTTTAACAAACCTCAATTCAAAGACTTCTTGTGCATAATATATGATTTTCCTATGTATCGAAAAATGTTCTTCTAACAGAAATAATCGAATCAATCGATCACAAAGAGATTTTCAATTTTAGAAAAACAATGGCTTGATATGTGGTGTCATCAAAACGGAATAATCATGTGGCCCCATGAATTCGAAAATGAGCTGTTTGATCCACCAGTGTCGATTCCTGAAGCAATATTCGATCGTGTACACGGTTCCATGGCAGGCATAGCTTTAGGCGATGCTCTTGGTGCTCCTGTGAAATTGAAGTCTTGATATGCTTTAATCGCAAGTCCGGTGATAGATCTCGAGGATGGCGGCATATGGGAACTCGAAAAAGGACAGGTAACTTCTCTCTATATAAATTTCATTACTAGTGACTCAATTAGTGTTCACTCAAGCTTATACCACACTTAAAACAAAAACTACTTCTAGACTCTAAGTTTTGACATTGATTATGCCTTAATTGCTTGTCAGATATTTGCTTTTTATCTACAAGATTTGTAGATCAGGTTTTTCAACATAATAATCATAAAGAAAATCCAATATAGTTTTAGAAGCAAAAAAAACAATCTCTACTAGTTAAGAAGAGTTTTTTCAAGAGTTGTAGGATATCTGTACAGTCAAGGTCAAAGTTTTCAAGAGAACAGATACTGTAACATATGAAGTCTGAAACAGGTCACAAAGTCTGCTTGTGTATTTGTTTTTTAATATTGATATTTTATTTCATAAATTGAATATATTGCTAGAAAATAGATACAGCTCAAGTAATATTTTTAAAGATGATATTTTAAGATAATGAATTAAATAAATCTTTCACAATGAATAGAAAAAAATATTTATAAACCATAATAAAATCTATTAACATGCTAGAGAGCATAGATTGAACCGATCTATCGATAATCGGCTAGTAACTCGCATTGTCTCCATCTTTGCAGTATCCATTGCATGCATAAGATTTTTAATAATATAACTACTGAATTGATAATAAAAACACTCTAAGATAAATAACATAAAATGGTGTAGTCAACCATCAACAAAATTTCATTACATAATCTCTACGAATAGAGATGAGCTGTATACAACGTTACGAAAGTCATTCACTACTTGTACAGTCAAATATTGATTATGAAGACAGAGAATATGAGTAAGAAAAGTAACTAAAATGATTGTATAACATATAAACGACATCTTAAATTTAAGACGAGTAAAATTTTTGAATAAGCTGATATAAAAGAGCAGAAAAGTGAGTAAGATAAATCATCGATCAGCCAGTGTGAAATCTGAACTGGCGTCGATTTCATTTCTACTTGACAAATCATCAACCAAATTTTCATAGTTATTATTACTTATTCGTTATCTTTTTTTTTCAATTTCAGTTAGCTCAACTGAGGCAGAATGATCTTTTTTCTGCTGTAGGTTTAGCAGTTCCTGAACGTTATTCTTCTTTAGACCATAATACTTGGCATGATAATTTTGTCTCTCAGATTCATCCAAAATGTTCTTGAACAAAAATATATTTTTTTTTCTCAATATTAGTGTGTGTCTGTTTCTCTACTTTTCTGCATTCCATCACTGTACCATTTGTGAGCGTAATCTAGACTTATAGGCGGCGCGCCATAGTAGCACGGGTTAGCAATTGCTACCCCTAATAACCCATATAACGGTAGTTGTTCGAAGAATGTTTATGCACTATGATATTTGTTTTATTTTCTTCTGAGGATCAACTTTCATCATGTATATATGGGCGGTGCACTAGCATTATAAGCGACAGCTATTGCTTTCCTTAAAATAATTGGAAAAGCAATAAAAATATATTGCTACGCTAAATGGCTCATTCTTGCGTAAAACTACCTAAGTCAGCATACATATTCAATATGACTTTTTAGTTAATATAGGAGAGTTGACCCAGCCTCGCGAATTTGTTTATTGTCATGCTGATGAATGCGTTCCGTGTTATTACATTCGGCAAATGATTATTTGAGTCTTACATAATCCACATCTTGGTTATTTTGGTTCCTCTCCAAAGACTGACTAAATGATACCTGACTACTTTGATCAATAGAAATGAACTTCGATTACCCAACATTGACTAGATGAAATGCAATAGCTGATCTTCTGTACTATTTTTTAATAATAAAAATAGGCAGAATATTAGGTATTTTTTGTTTATTTTTTTAAGCAAAATTGACAATTTATAGTTTGAAAATTTAACATTAAAATCTCTGAAAAAACACAAATTCAGTTTTTATTTCACAATGAAAGAAGACATCGACTAGCTGTTAACAATTAATTGTCAAACAATCTGGAAAACAGCACCTTCATCTTTCCCATTCATTGTTACGCTTATGAAGATTTTCAAAAAAGAGTAATTGTTTAAATTTCAAGCAACCTTTTACATGAGTATCAAGCTGAGGATGCATTAGTCAGTGAACTGAAGGTGAAGGTGCAAAAAACTTAAATCTTTCCTAATTTTTTTTCTTTTTTGAGTAGATACTTTTTCAATATAAGTATTACACTAATTTGAAGCTCACTATATACTATTAGATGAGTTTATGCTCAAACTTTCACGTATCATGCCTTTGAGAAATATTGTATTTAAATTGAAAAAAATGTTTGCTGCCGTACTGTTCATTATTGCGGGGGAAGGGGAGAGGAGTGGAGGGTAAACAAAATAGACTCGTGTAAAACTTAACTGCTACCCCAAAAAGCCTTGAGCTTGCGTCGCCCATGTCTACATTAACACCTTCTACTGTCAAAGTCTGTATAAGATGAACGCATTGTCATATTGAATATACTAAATATCTGTCCGAAGATTTTGCTCGAAATCGACTACTTTTCAGTGAACAATTTCTTACAGTGAATCTTGAATGCTTCTTTTCATCTCTATCAACTATATAGAAACATATTCCAAAAGTAAATGCTTTTTCTTCTACTTGTTTTGTTAGATGTTTTCGTATACACATTAGAAGTAAACAACTCTGTATAGTAAGCAATTTTAAATATTCTCCTAGATATTCATATTCGATAGTTTTTACTTTAGTCACCTAAAGTGACTCCAATAATTTGTTTGATTTTCTATGCAGATTATGACTTAATTGTGTTTTATTGTTATCAAGGTATTGGCATGAAAAAATAGACACACCAAGTAGAGTAGATAGAACGATAAGGGAATTCGATATAGTATAGAGGCAAAATAAAAAATTGATGTATAGCTCTTGGTTATTTTACTGAGTGGCTTAGATCAAACAGAACCAAATTGTACAAGCATGCGATTTTGTGTCATACTTTGCAGAATTTATAGTTCGAACAGCTCAAGCTCAAAAACTCAAATGAACTACTTGAAACAACCGTGTGAATACACCGTTTTCTATCCAAAGAAGTTTCAAACATATTCCCAATTCGGAACTATCTATAAACAGTCAATTAATAGATTTGATCTTCTGAACTTCCTTAGTTTGTTCTCTGAAAAATTAGCCACATAGAGCGCAACGATGTGATAAAAGCACTTAATAAATGAGTATTTTAGTTGTGTGTGACAGTAAAAAGTCCATCGACATATATGAATATATAGTTTTATAAATCATTTAGTGTCGCAGTCTACGATTTCCGTGTTATTTAAAGATTGTTTCTACATTACATATATTTTTTTGATCCAATAAAAACTATTGTAAGGAATATTTCGGCTTTAATTCAATTCAAAGAGAATAGACAGTGTTGTAAAACAAATATGTAGTTGCAATGCTGCTAAGAATTTCGATCATATCAAGGATAATTTGATCAAACATATTCTGATATATTAGGACATTTCGTTTGATACGCACACAGAAATAAAACATTTTTCAATGATCATAGACATGCTCTAAATGATCGTTACAATCAATGTGTTAGTAATTAAATATTCTAAAATGCTGGATGAATCCTTCTAGTTTTTGCATCTTTGCAAATCCTTATAACTAACTGTTTGTCTCCTAATTTTAGTTCACCGATGTCACATCAATGACTCTATGTCTAGCAATTTCTTTGGTGGCACATCGAGAATTTTTTCTGTATGATCAACTAGTTCGATATAAATGGTGGTTTAGGAACGGTTATATGTCTTCTGTAGGCAGATGTTTTGATATTGGTGCATCCACTAAACGATCTTTAGTGGAATTTGAACGTCGTCAACTTGAATACTCTAGAAAATACAATGTTCCATATGACCAAATGGACCACTTGAAATCTTCTGAAGTTTCAAATAAGTTCGATGTAGTCTGTAGTGAAAAGAACGTAGCTGGTAATGGTTCCTTAATGCGACTCGCTTCTGTTCCGTTGTTCTTCCACCGTTATCCTAAGGAAGCCGTTGAGTATTGTGGACTCAGTGCAAAAATTACTCATGATGATCAGCGTGCTTATGATGCCTGTCGTTATTACGGTGCTTTAATTGCGGCCACTCTCCATGGTGCGAGCAAAGATGAGCTGCTCGACAACAATTTTTATTCTAAACATAAAGACTGGTTCGGTAATGAGGAGCTTCATCCAGACATAATGAATATTGCGCAAGGATCTTATAAAAAAGAAGGTGGATATGATCAAGGCATTCGAAGCACAGGATATGTTGTTAATGCTCTGGAAGCCGCTTTGTGGGCTTTTTGCTATGATAAGGATTCGTTCGAAGTTGGAGCTCTTGCTGCAGTCAACCTCGGCGATGATACTGACACAACAGCGGCGATTTATGGCCAATTAGCTGGTGCATATTATGGTTATAGTAAATTACCTAGGAAATGGTTGAATTTTCTATACGGTGGAAGGTTAATACAGTGTCTGAGCAAATGGATTGTGTACGAAGGAGAAAGATGGCGTCCAAATAGATTGCAGGAGTCGGTTTCGGCTATTTCTACCCATCATCAACCACATAATAATACTATCTACTCGCCTAATAAGCTAACTGTTAATTCCAACGCACACATACCCGTTTCGCCATATAATTCACAGCGATTCCCTGACAAACATTCTGAAATAAGGCAAGGTCCTGTATCCCACCTCGTTCATCAGGTGGTTGTCATAGAACCAAATATCAACAAGAAGTCAAATCTAAAGCCAATGGTACCTAATAAGGTTATTGAAATTGTTACACCACAGGCTGCTTCTAATTACAATAATTATTCTCATTTGCAACCTGTTTCAAATAACCTTATGTCTTCCCTCCATCCAAAGCCACTCCAAGTCGCGGTTTCTATGCCTGTATCCAAACGTAAGAGTTTTGTTTTCGACCATATATTGAGAATTATTTC